AAGGAAGAAGTTTACTTTTATTAAGCAAGGACACATTAAACTGATCAAAAGTGACAAAAACATTATAATGTCACAAAAAACTTTTATTTCAAATAAATGCTGCTCTGTTGAAACATTAATAATTCAACATTTATAATAACAGGCAATATTTCTTTAGCATATTAGAATGATTTCTGAAGGATCATGTGACACTGAAGACTGGAGTAATGACTATTGAAAAATCAGCTTTGCCTTATTTTAAACTGTAATAATATTTCACAATATTAATGTTTTTACTCTACTTTTCATTAAAGGTGACATATCATGAAAATCTGACTTTTCCAGGTTTTAAGTGCTATAATCAGGTCCCTGGTGCATCTACCAACCAAGGAAAGTGAAAAGATTAACCCAGTAACTTTGTTTTGGCAAACCATTTTCTGCAAGGTCTGAGAAAACGAGCGCGTCTGATTTCACTCCCTTGGTGACGTGGCAAAGGGATCTCATTATAATATTACCGCCCCTTAATCTGTAAATTTCCACCCAAGGCGCCTCATTGTGTTTTCACAAGCGACAACGGTGTAGCAGTTCTAATGCCATGGTGAAAGTTTGAGAAATCAAAATGATGGCGCCATGTGTGGAAACTCACAGATTAAGGGGTGGTAATATTATAATGAGATCCCTTTGCAACATCACCAAGGGAGCGAAATCAGACGCGCTCGTTTTCTCAGACGCTTGCAGAAAAAGGCTTCCCAAAACAAAGTTACTGGGTTAATCTTTTTCACGTTTCCTTGGTTGGTAACTGTTCTGTCTTTGGCTGCACAGACGAGCACAGAACACTATTTAGAGTCCCAGCCTCAGAGGAGACAAGAGAGCAGTGGATTTATTGATTTATTTCATGTATTTTGCTGCTGCCACACAGATCTAAAATAAAATGCGATTTATTTCCCAGCTACCTTCACAGACATAACCAACTGTTTTTTGTAACTCATGTGTGTTCGTAAACGTGTGTGTGAATGAGAACTTAGTTTAGTACTCGCATGCTGTGACAGCCGCTTTCTGTCCGTGTGCTTCGGATGTGTACTCTCAGAAAACCATATATCAGAAGTTTAAACTCATATGGTTTAAAACGCATGATTTCAGCGCGATAAACATGATAATCAGAACCAAAACAGATGTTTTTAGCAGGTCCGAGATGTAATGGTGCAGCTATATTCTGGAAAAGGGGGCGGGGAGCAGCAGCTCATTTGCATTTAAAGAGACAGGCCCGAAAAACAGCGTGTTTCTGCTTACACTCAAAATACGCATTTTCAAAATTATATAATAAATGATCTGTGGAGTATTTTGAGCTGAAATTTCACATACATATTCTGGGGACACCAGAGACTTATATTACATATTGTAAAAGGGGCATAATGTGTCTTCTTTAATCATTTACAGCATAATAACTAAAGCCCCTTTGTGAAGACATTAGCACTCACAGGAAGGAGGGAGTCCTCAGCCATCTGCCACCACCGGGTTGGTTGGGAAACACATCCTCCAGAAAGTAGTACACGTGTCCCACTGCGATGCCTTACATTGAAAAGACAGAACATATAAACTTGTGTGAAAGTCTAATTCATACCAACAACAGATTAATTCATTACTATATATAAAAAAATCAAACATATTAAAATAAAACAAATTTGACCAATTTGTTGTCAATGCAAGTGTCAGTACAAGAAAACTTAATAAATCTGACAAATCTCTACCTAAAAGGTCCACAATGATGGAGTTTCCCAACAGTAGAGAGAATCCCATGAGCACCCATGGGAGGAAAGGCGCCTGGAAATTCAAAAGGCCGAAGAAATTCATGCGCACACTTGGGTTCCTCCTGCTCCATATGTACACCAGCATGATGGTGAAAGCCTGACCTAAGAACACAAGATTTACAAATGTGCCAAATATCTGCACAGCCATTAAGAACATTACAACTGGTATTTGTGCAAATGTAACAAGCAATGTTTGTTATTAATCTTAAAATGCCTATATATGGTATACTGAATTGACCATAGAATGAGGTCAGCTGCTATATTTGTCGACATCTAAAGGTTAGAGTAAGACGGGACTCATTTTGCTGTTCTTTTCTTCACACGGTACCAAAAAACTTGCATTTCATTCTGTGAACTTCTCAAAAGACACTAAGACAGGATGATGACCTAAAGAATCTTTTTATGTTCAATTTTTATGTGCAATTACATGTTCATAAAAACATGCTTAAGTTGGAACATTGCCTCCAATGCAATATGTATCAACCAATCAAATACTATATTATATTATTTAAATGTATCCTTTTATTTATACATTTTTCTTTCCCTATTTACTGTAATCCATTTTTAGATGATCTTTTTTATTCTTTTTTTAGTCTTTTATAAACTTAAGATTTGAAATGATTTGAAATATACATATATAAAAACTTGTAATATATTAATTATAATAGTACAAGAACTCCCTGAGATTAGAGAAGCAGTTGTTAGTAAAATGACGGGAACACAAAAAAAAAAAAGACTGGGGTTGTACTGCTGTTACCGTGGGAAAAAAAATTATTATAACCACTGATTCTTTGTAGCCTACTCCTTCGGAAGTGAAAATAAAATGAATTTACTTTCACAGCGTAGGACACAGCATCTTCTCGACATGAACAAGCTACAGTGTTTGAGGGCGGGGTCAAGTTGTTCAGAGCCGGCTAACGTAGAACAGAGGCGAGCATTATGTAAATGTGACATGTAGCCGTCAGAGAAGTGGGATTCGAATTACTGACGACTCATTTCAGCTGTTCAGAGTTGATTCGTTCTTTTGGGAGACAATAACTTTATTTATCGTGCACTTTCTGCTTTACAACTTTGCAGATAGTTTACATTCACTGAATGGCAATTAGCATGAATGGCAATATTCGAAATGGCATAATAGGGGAAATTTAACATCAAACAAACAATATAATTCTTATTCTCAGTGATTAAAGATTTAAAAAATGATTGCACAACCACTAATTAGGTGGCAATATGGACTAATTATGTAAACTGCCTTTGAACAAAAAAAGAATAGTATGGCACACTTTTTCTTAGTGTCCATTTCTATGGTGACTTGCTCTGTTGAGAATGTCTTGTGAGTTAACCGTGAACATACTCTGAGTTGACTAAACGTATGCGTTTTTGGAACCAGCATACCTCAAGTAAGCAAGTTTTGGGTTAATCACCTGAGAAGTCAGTGTATGTGTTATATACAGAAGAGACAGAAGTTATTATATATGCTATAGAGGTAAATGAAATGAGTTTTTCTCTTTTGAGAAGATGTGAAGGATACGGTCATGAGAAGGCCACCGAAGAGGAACATAAAGACAAAGTCAGCGGTTCTCCCTCTGAAGGACCCCTCCTCCAGCATCCGACAGTACCGGTACCTGTGAGACTCGAGTCAAGGACTGAACAAACTGCAAACTTCAGACACTATCCCTTACACGGCTAACTACCCAATTTAGCGGTTCACTATGAATATGATATAATAAAGGATACAAAAATATCATGTTGAATAAGAAGTTGAACCCAACCGGACCAAAAAACAAAAAGTTGGTTATTAGCCGCCATACCTATGGAAAAAACACACACACAAAGAAAATTTTGAATCACATGCTGCAATATTAACCCTATCGTATCATATTTAATACACAAATTTGTAAGGCCTCCAAATCAAAACTTTGCTGAAAACCTGCTGTACACGATCTACTATATGCCTTCTGTCATTTTAAATATAATTTATACTTTTTTTTTTATAAGTAAAAGGCCTTCTAAAAATGCCCACCTGTGTTCTGTACACGTGTTTTTGCTGTGAGATCTTGAAATGATATTTATAAAGTATAAAGAATAACTTTTATATCCCTTGCTATATTTCAAAATGAGCTTTTTCCAATCACGTTCAAATCATATTAAAATGTGAGTATTTTGCTCAGTTTGGGCCTCTAAAATAAAAGTGAGCTGGGTTTTTTTTTCCTTCTCAAGTACGGTATGAGCTTCATATTCTCCGATATCATACTATATGAGCAATAATGTATACAAAACATAAAACACGTTTTTTTCTCTTTATTATATTGTATATAGTCTAAAGGTTCAATAAACTGTTCCAATTCATTTAATTTTTCTGACTGTTATTTAATATGTCAGGTTTTTCAGGCTAAAAATAAAACAAAGCAGACTGTTCTTCAAAGAAACCCTTATTTTGACACTTACCTGATAATTCCTCAATATTAAATCTGGGTTGAAGTAAAGCTGGAAGGGTGTGATGAGTTCTAATTGCTGTGAAAACAAATTAAACACCATAATCAGATACGAACGACATGTTGCAGGCACACAAACGATGTTTAATGGTAACTTAATATCACACTCAAATAATAACCGAAATCAAAAGCAAAGTTACTTTCAGCAGCTCGCTTGACGTTTAACTGTCAAGGTAACTTAAGTCAGCTGAATGGACGCAAACACAGGAAGTAACGTTAATAAGTGCAAACAGAGCAACTGGAAACCAAAGCTTCTGACATGTAAACTTAGATACATTACTCTTACCATGACATAACATACAAACACACTTTACCGGAGGGTTTTAAGTAAATACGTCCTGATACCATCCAACAGGATATCAGCTGTGCTTGAACTGCATAGGGACGAGGACACGGCAGAAAATAGCGCTTGAGACCCTAATCTTCATCCATTTACTTACCACGGCGGCTGTAGTGAGTACGCAGGCGGTGGTATAAGCTCTAGTGACCACTGGAATCTCTAAATATTCCTGTCGGATTGTCTGGTATGCCATTTTTTGGAGCGACACCGCTGCTTCCGGCACCTTCTTGACACGTCATCACCTGGGAAAGCGAATAAAGGAGGTGGTTTTGGTTTGTGATGACTCTAATTGGTTATCGCTTTGAGATCTCACTGCTCTGATTGGTCGTCTGACGTGTCAATTACTGTTTTATCCCGGTCAGTGGATGTATGGCATTTTTCTATTGGTTGGTAAAGATTTGTATGGAAATGTTGTAATTTATGTTGAAAGTTTCACATTGGGATGGAAATGTCCATAAAATAATAGTGCAACAGTCGGGTTCCCGTCAGAAGTAAAAAATCCCGTTCACTTTATCCATAGAGAAACTGATTCCTAACAATAACTTATAAGCAACTGAACACAGACCCTATGAGACCCACTGTGAGCTACGAGGTTGTTAATCGATACTTCTATCTTCTATCTTCTATTTTATTAT